TGACTGAACTTCATGCCAAGCAGCCAAATTCCAGCTCGTGTGCTCATGTGGACCTCACCTTTAATTCCTAGAGCAGTCCTTCAGGGCTCGGTGTTTGACCTGGCATGTTATTTACTGTGAAATGGTAAAGTCTGGCCCACACTTGCAGACAAATATGGGTTAGTGCTTTTCTCCGTTCCCTCTCTCTATTTTTTTTCCCAGTTGGTGCTGCCCTTGTGGGACAGAAAGGGCCCAGTCTTGCAGAGCGTGCCCTGGGGGCTGCTTCACCCTCTCTGAGCTGGAACGAGGCCCAGGCGCAGCCCTGTGTTTCACATCTGTCACCATCAGGAGCTGTGACCCAACTAGCAGTGACTTGCCTTTGCCTTGCCAAACAAACTGCATTTCTAGCCACCTCAGCAACCCTTCTGTGCTCTCCTTACCGCAAGCGCGAGGTGCAGCAAGCAGCTGGTCTCCTGCAGTGCTACCAAATGTAGGCCCAGGAGGACCTTAAGACCCAGCTGTGGTTTTTAGGACTGTCTCAAGGTACCGAGGTGGGAAATAACGCCAGCTCCGTGCTACGTAGTGAATAATCCAGCTAATCCTTGGCAGGTGGTTCCTCGCTAAACTTTCTTTGGCAGCAAAGACAGTGCATGAGTGTGCTATGAAAGGGGCTTCTGGAAGGGAGCTTGAAGCGGCGCTCTTGGTGGGATGCTCTGTCCTTGGGCGGTTGGCTGCTGCACAGCTGAAGCTGTTGCCAGCTCTTTGAGAGCACCCTGTGTGCACAGAAAACACCAATGGAACCCATGTTCTCGTGAACAGGAGCATCTCTGTTGCCTTAGGGCAGTGCCTAAGGCAGGAGCAGCAACAGGGCTAAGGGAGAGCAGCTCTCCCGAGGAAGCTGCTCACAGGCGTTATGAGTGTGTGGAAAACTTTCCGGTGACACCCAAGTACAGCACAGCTTAATCTGTAGGTACCAGCTTTTAACACTGGGTTTTAGTCTACAGTTTCACTTGTACAGGCTCCCCCCACTGAAAGAGGCAGGAAAGAAGGGGGAGGCTGGAGTTTTTCCCTTGTGGAAAGCCCCAGCTGGCCGGCATGCTCGGAGCTGCTGTGCAGGAGGGCCCTGGGCGTCAGCGGAAAGTTGGGCCTCGGCTTTCACAGGGTGTCTGGTTACTGTTTCGGCCGTCCCGCAGTGCCCAGCGCTGGGCACAGGGAGGGCTGCCCTACTTCCAGTTCTGATGTCCTGCATAAATTATTAAGGCGAAGGGAATGCTCTCCGTGCAGTGCGTTCTGAGAGCTAGAAATGACAGTGTGGAGCTCTTGGAGACGGAGCGTCTGACGTGGGGGCTTTGAAGCTAGAACATGTGCCGCTCTGCTCACCTGCAAAGGAGCTGCCTTGCCTTGGTGTGGCGTTGTGACCTCTGCAGCTTTTATCTTTGGGAGGTTCAGTTAATTCAAGCTTATCATCCATGTCCTTTGCAGACAAGTGGCTCCTCAGCTTCTTGCTGCAGGGCACGAAGGCAGAGCCAGCCCTGCTCACGCTCGGCTCCATGGGGCAGCTCAGAGCAGGACCAGTTTAAAGCCGCTTCTCCAGAAGAACTTGAGGAAACGTGTGTCAAACTGCCCGTCACTCGAGTCGGACAGGTTGCTCCCTGCTCTTCACGTGAACCTCGCTCTCTTTTATTTATTGGGATAGGAAAACCTGTCAGACACTCTGAAACGTCGGACTAGTCTTTGTTTCCCAGACCAGCTTGCTCTTTGAGTTATTTTAGGGTGAGGGATGCTTGGAAGTCCCGCAGGAGTGGTAGTGAGTAACTCACATGCAAATAGTTACTCAAATGAGTTTCCTGAAGCTTGCTTTGAGGAACCAGAGTTTATAGGGTTTGGGCTCAGATCATGCTGTTAATCTTCTATTGCTTAGAGCATGGGTGTTCATTTAAATAGGGATCTTTGCTTAAAAGCCAGAAGGAAAACTTCAGCTATACAAGAAGCAGATATTTTTGTGTATTTTCAAGTATACAAAGTGGCTGGGGTTAAAACGTTTTCACAGAACTGCTTTGATGTTAAACACGGGGAGTAGCTTTTTAGAACACCTAGGGGAGGAGTGTTTGGTGAGTCAAGGGTCTTACAGCTCTTCACTTTCTAAGTCATTTGAGGGCTTTTAAAATGTTTTCCTGGTTTTTCAGTGGTTAAATGATTTTTGTAATTTTTTAGAAAGTGAGCAGCTCCTGGGTCTGGAAACGCTGGAATTACATCAGCAAGCAGGTTTGTTATGGCAGGCTTGAAGGGAAAGATGAAGCGGTGAGAGTTGGTCTGCATCAGGTTAGCGGCTTGAGAGGAAGGGCTCTCTTCGGCTGTCAGAAAAAGAGTAAATATTTTCCTGTACTTTCTCCCTGCACTGCTTTTTAGTACTGGGCAAATATTCAATTAGTTTCAATATTTACTGTCTTTTAGGTCTAATAGCTGGTGAGACGGCTGCCTCTCCCTCGCATGAGTTCACAGCCCTGGGGGAGAATTGAGTCTCTTTCTTCCTAATTTAACAATTTTAGTCCCCATTTTGCATTTTTGCGTTTCCCTGGAAATTTTGCCACTTCATTATTTTAGCAACAACAAAACGGTGTCCCGACTTAAAGAAAAATTGCCAGTGCATCTTTGCCTAAACGTGTTCGCCGGAGCCTCCGAACTAGCCTGTGTTGGGTCAGTTTAGTGGCAGTTTTGTGCTCTGGCTTTGCTTCTGCTGCTAAGAAAATCACGTGAAGGACCCTGCGTTTCACTTCAAGTGCATAGGCAGCCCCACGGAAGCCCATAAAACCGGCACAAAGACAAAAGCAAATACGTGCCTAAGTCAGTGCGGTGTCAGCTCCAGAGCTGGTTTTATTACAGACAAGATACACACGGGGATAAATCCGCTGCAGTGCAGTCGTTGCTGTGAAATCATCACTAAAACAGACTGATGGTTTTTGTTCAATAAACAAACTTGGGTGTTGAAGCAGTGGGGGCACATGGGGAAAGAACAACGTGACGTTAAAAATAGGGAGGTTGTAGGGCAAAGAGGATGGGTGGCTGATGTGACACGAGCTGCCCGGCTGCCGACGCAGGTGCCTTGAGACACAGGCTGTGAGTGGAAGTGAGAAGCAGCCCCCGGCCGGCAGCGCCCTGCGGCCCTGAAACCTCTCTGAAGTCGGCAAACATGTGTCCCTTTCTCTCCTTCTTCCTAGAGTCCCAGTGTTACTGGGAGAAGACCGGAGGGGTTTTGCTTTTCCCATTGCAGAGCATCCTGTGCATTTGTTTTTCTTTTCTGTTCATGTGTCCTGCTGCTTGTCAGTTCCAGCTATGCGGTGGTTTTACTTGTACATAACGAAGCCAAGAGGGGGGATTTCTTCCTGCCGTGCCAGAGCTGCCCGCTGCGTTCAAGGAGGGCAGTAAAACCCCTCGTGCCGTTTTTGCACGGGTCCCCCAGCGCTCGCATTGGCCAGGGCAGGGTGCAAGACGAAGAAATCCTTCCCCGTGCCCAGCGCAGCCGGCCTGCGCTGCCCGCGGCACCCGGGGCTGCCGGGCGATACTCAACGGTACTGGTCTATGTTTGTCGTTTCCTTAAGAGCTCAGCCCCACAGGGGAGTGTTTTAGACTTTCTGCTGGTGTAGCTAAGCGTGGCCACGTGTGAATACGGCCCTCTTCTCTCCCGCGCTGTTGGGTATTTACAAAGAGTGACGGCTGTAGCGAGGGCGACGCACCCGGCCCGTTGTGACTCCTGTGATTAAAGACAGTGCAGCAAAGCGCTTCCCGTGTCCAGTCTTTGCTCAGAGACAGCCACGTCGGTCGCCTCCAGTGCCCTTGGCAGGGCAGCAGTGCCAGGGCCTGGTGCCATAGAGGGTGTTTTGCAGGCACTGCTGGTGGGGATGGCTAAGCAGATCATGGAGCACATGGACGCGGACTCCGAAGGGTGGGCGGATGGATCCATGGGGCTGGGAGGTGGCTGCCCACCCACCTGCCCAGGAGGATGGGGCGGGCTGGGGTGGCAGCGGAGGCTGCTCGGACACGGGTAGGGATGAGAGGGCTGCGGCTTCCCCTTCCCTGGGTGCTCGCAAGGACTGCGGGTGCCACGGGGAAGGTTTGGGCTGTTGGTTTTAGTCCTTGGACTCCCATGAAGTCCTGTCACACACGAGCATCCCGAAACTGCCTTTGGAGCAGCTCTGGGCTCCACAGAGCGCCCGGAGAGCAGCGGGAGCGGGGCAGCCCCGGGGGCATCTCGAGGTGCTGCAACGCGGCTGCCTCGCGGAGAGGCCGGTGCAGAGGCGGCGGCGGGGAGCCTGGGTGCGAAAAAGGTGCGGAGGCCACAGCGAGTGGGGAGGGGAGACGAGGGGAGAAAGAAAGAAAAAGAAAAAAAAAAAAAAAAGGGAGCGGCCGGGCCAGCCAGGAGCCGAACCTAGAATCTTCT